TAAGGCTGGTCTCATTACATGTGGCCTGGTTATTTGCATAGATGCACCAAGAATGACAATTTACCACATAGGTTTTAGATTTGCTTTGCTGAAAGTTTTCATAAAGAATCTCAGATTGGACTTTTCAAAGCCTCTTGAGGGTAGGAAGCCAAGCCAAGAATTCACCCCCACTTCTCACCTGCAGCACCCAGTGATTTGATGGGCATTCCTCTCTTCCCGAGGTCCCCCAAAGCGGCCTAAGATTCCTGAGCCCGCCAGGAAGTGACCTTCCTCACTCACCTGTAAGGCTGGGAACCCTATGAAGCCAGTTACCAGGCCAGTCTTCCCAAGAGAGACTTGGTAAGCATTAGCCCCCACCAAGTCAACCTTAGTGCCTAAAGCATCTGGTCATAGCTGATTAAATGAGCATCATTCTCAAATATGACATTATAGGCAAAGCCTCGGTTGCATAACCAATGTTTCCAATTATGGTCCACTTGTTAAAAAGGTGGATGGACTCTTATTGAATCTATGCAGATAACTGTATTGCCATGAAAAGAAGAGTACTCAATAAGAGTTTCAGAATTGTGGAAAGGTGAGTCAGGGTGGAGCAGATAAATGTTTCATTGCTGTTTACAAGAGCACAGTCTACTAAATTGTTATGAGTGATAGATAGCTTAATAGAAAGTAGTCCTTATACCCAGAGAATAGAACATTAGAGCATCAGCACTATTCCAAACAAAGCCCATATCCATCCATCAGCAGTTCATTCAGTCCCATGCCATCACAACTGCCTCACTCTAACTTGGATTAGCAGTCTCATAAATCCATCTTCTTCTCAACTAAGGTTCTGGAAATCCTGACTGAGTCCACCAATAACCAAAGTTATTTAAGCAATGCCATCAGGAGCCTGTGTGCAAGAGTAGCTGGCATAGTTCTTCCCCATGGGTCTCTGAGACTGTCCTTTTTGGTTGAAGACAAAGCATTCGGGCAGGTAGCTAATCTGTATGCTTTGGAAAGCATCAGAGTAAAACACAAAACTATCTGTATTTGATAAAAGACTTAAAATGCTCATGCTTAATATTTTCAATAGTTTTCAAAAGGGAACAGGTGATGAGAGTTCACTATAAAAATAATACAATTGACAAGAAAATTTTCCTATGTGACACTTAAGTTAGTCCAAAAGTTTTTTAAAAATATGCATAAACATGATGATTTATTTCATTTTCAAAGAATAGTGGATATTACATCCAATTTATGAATATGGAGGAACATATTCTTTAAAAGTCAGATGTAATAATCCTGAAACATAATATACCATAAATTTAACAAGCATATAGTTAGAATAAAGCAGTACTATATCTAGGTTATAAAACAAAGAGGTTCAGTAAAGCTGTATAAGTTTAAGAAAAACATATCTGATTAGAATAAAAATGTATTTTTGCAAGATTGATAACTCAGAAGACCTAGATGCATTTATTAAACCAACAACATCAAACTCATCTCATTTGCCAAAGATGTACTCATATCATGTGAGCTTGAATTTTTAAAACATTTTGGGAAGTTTATGTAAGAATACCCCCCCACACATTGTGTATATTAGAAATTTAATTTTCTTAGCTTCTGAGAATTTCAGAAACATTAAAAATTGTAGCCTCTTATTTATCTCTTAACAAATAAAACAGGAGGAGCTTCTAAAAATAATTTTATAATTTAATGTGGTAATGCAATTTGTAATTAGAAAAATATTACACATGCATTCTACACACATACATACATATATACACACTTACATGCACACACATATAGAAGAACACAGACAGGTAACTTACAGCTTTAGTTTTTAATTTTAAAAATTTAGCCATGGTTTAGGCATAAACCCCCAAATCCAAAACTCACTGGCTCATGTAAAAGAGTTGACTTGCATTCTTGCCTCACTTTTACATTTGGGTTTTTTTGTTGTTGTTTTTTTTACATTTTTACAATAATTATATTCCTGGCAGATGGGGAAAATGGAAGTAACTAGCTCAATATAAGGGCTAAAGCATCTTTACTAGAGTTTGTGGAGCAGACCTTGAAGATGTCCTTTGCCATGATGAGCAATCCTATGGAGACTGCGGACTAATTTTCGGGAGAGGGATGGAGGAGAGACCACGCAGCCATCTGGGGTCTCTAAAGTCCATTTGAGTAGAAAAATTACCCAGCCTGTTTCCTATTAGTGTTTTCAGGCTGTTGCTCTTCATGTCTCTGAGCTCCGCCGGAGCCCAGCAGTGTTAGAGGGACTTAAGTCTCCAATGACTATAGGGAGGTTGAAGGGCTGGAGTGAGAAAGAAAAGGTCTGACAAGGGTGGGCAGAGTAGGGGGGATGTAGAGGTGGTGAAGGGGGAAACCAAAGGGTTCAAGGGAGATTAAGGGTGGGAAGAAGGAGAAAGGGGAAGTTGGGAGAATGAGTGATGAGAAGAGACAGGTCTTAAAAGTTGTTGAGGAAGGAGGATGTTCTTTGAGAGAAACAATCGTCTCTGAAACATTTTTGTGGGAGAGACATTTTTCTGTTTCTTTCTACCAAACAATAAAAGCAGTTCATTGTTGGGTGAGATATTGGAATCAGTGGATTCAAGAGCTCTGCTCAGAATGAGCCCAAATAGTCTAAAATTCAGGAGAGGGACAGAGGAGAGAAAACGTTCCTCAAAAGGCCATTGAAATTCTAAGTGGTTATTACTAAAATTTTGCCATTTTTTAAGAAATTGGGTGGAATTTATACCACAATGTTGTAGGACATACCCCACAATGAAGAGATCTGAGGGACAACCATTAGACTGACAATCTCCCATGATAATGAAAGGAACACCTGTTGGTACTAAGGCCTTTGGACTTTAGCCCAGGTTTAATTTCCAGGGAGAGAATCAGGGGCTTTAACCACACTAAAAAATGGCAGAATAAGAAGACAGAGAAATAGAAGAAAAAAGACAAAAGTAAAGGGAAAATAAAGTCAAGTCCTTACCATGCGACAATAGACAAACATTTGGAACACTGGGTTAGGAGGTATCACTTACCACTGTGGGTCCCGGTGTCCCCAGCCAGGAAAGGGCACAGTGTAATAGAACAGCCTTAATGCGTGAGTGAAGAAAGCAGGGTCCGAGGGGTAGTCAATACTCCATCAGAGTCACGGCATCATTACTGTCAAAGAAAAAAATACAGTCTGGACATGAGCATGAAAGATTTCATTAAGAGGACACTGTAGTGGGAGCAGGAGAGTATTATAATAGGAAGATGCTCAAAGACTAAGCCAGAAATGTCTCAGGGAAGAGATGAGTGGACAAAGCCTTTAAATGCAGAGATAGCTGTAGAACGTAGGAGGGAGGGCGGTGGTGAAGCTGGTGGTGGGAGGGGGTTTTTGAAACTTAACAAGCTCCCTCAAATATTCTACTAACCAAAAAATCAAGACAGGAAATGGAAATGTTGGTTGTGGTTAAGCACATGGGCCAAATCTGCACCTAAGATGGAACAAACAAGTTAAAGTACAGGAAGTTATCATAGAATTGAAGGCCCCTTGGTCTTAACGTTGTGTCAAGCTCAAAATTTGATTAGCCTTGTCAACACCTAAAATTGCCTTTGTGATTTCCAAGAAAGTCCCTGGAAAATCACCAAGATTTGTTCTTTCCCATTGTGAAAAGAGAAATATTAGAAATACTTAGGGCTATTTGATATGTTACCGATGATGAGTTACATTAAAAATACTGTCAAATCTGAAGAAACGCTTAAACTTTCCTAGGTTAAATTTGTGTGGGTAAAATGTTATTAACATTAATATTTAAACACTTGTATTCTGTATGAGAAAGTTCCAGAGAATTGTCAATGTTTTTGCTGTCAATGATTTGTTTCTATTTACCCAAGTCCTTGTGTTGCTTTGCCTATAAGACAAAAGCAGCATAGTGTTATTGGTCATAGTTTCAATTACTTTTGAAAACATTAACTTGGTTGTAACTTCTTTAATTTGAATCTAATATATTGCAGGCCAGTAGTTTTCTATTTGGAATTCACAACACTTATCTGTGGAGTTTTATTAATCTATTGATGTTTAAAACCAATTCCAGATGTGCTGAATCTATTTACTTGATAAGCTTGATAGTCTTTTCATATTCTAAGGATGTGCTAGCTATAGGTGGCATCCAATGTCTCGGGATTTTTATATGTTATATCTGAAAATGTTTTCTCTGTGAAGATGATGTCCTTCCATTTTCATAAACTAGACATAATATCCACCTTTTTTTTGAAAAAAGACTTAACTCTTTGTGTTTACAGATATTTTGTATAGCATTGTTTTGGATTGACTTTGTTTTGCATGCCACAGAAACAACCAGATATGCTTGTTAATTGCATTATTGTTGCAACAAACCCTCTTTAGATTATTCCCTTTTGAAAAATATCAATAACAAGGAAATAATAGCCATTTTTAGTCTTTTGACATCTATCGATAGTTTTGTTTGTGTGTTTTGTTTTACTCCTGATGTTTCCATGAAATCGAATGCAATGAGCTGTAGGACAGAACGTTCCATCTTCAATAAAGAAAGACTGTCTTAGAGCCTGGTGGAAAAGGACCATACTAGGGACTCTTGGGTACAGGCTTCTGATGGTATTGCTTAAGCAACTACAAAATCACACCAGTGGATCAAGTCAGGAGCTACAGACCTCTATTGGAAAGCAGGTGCATTCATTGGACTACTGACTCAAGATCAAGTGGAAGAAAAAATAATTGCCTAGGACTGAATGGACTGAATAAACTGGGTGAATATGAATTTTGTTTTGGAATAGCTGATGTATCAATGTTCTATTTTCTGGATATAAGGAACCGCTTTCTGTGAAGCCATCTATCACTCATAACAATTTAGTAGACGGTGCTCTTGTAAACAGAAATGATCAGCTACCTGCCTGAATGCTTTGTCTTAAGCCAAAAAGGACAGTCTCAGAGACCCATGGGGAAGAACTATGCCAGCTACTCTTGCTCCTGGTGGCATTGCTTAAATAACTTTGGTTATTGGTGGACTCAGTCAGGATTTCCAGAACCTTAGTTGAGAAGAAGATGGATTTATGAGACTGCTAATCCAAGTTAGAGTGAGGCAGTTGTGATGGCATGGGACTGAATGAACTGCTGATGGATGGATATGGGCTTTGTTTGGAATAGTGCTGATGCTCTAATGTTCTATTCTCTGGGTATAAGGACTACTTTCTATTAAGCTATCTATCACTCATAACAATTTAGTAGACTGTGCTCTTGTAAACAGCAATGAAACATTTATCTGCTCCACCCTGACTCACCTTTCCACAATTCTGAAACTCTTATTGAGTACTCTTCTTTTCATGGCAATACAGTTATCTGCATAGATTCAATAAGAGTCCATCCACCTTTTTAACAAGTGGACCATAATTGGAAACATTGGTTATGCAACCGAGGCTTTGCCTATAATGTCATATTTGAGAATGATGCTCATTTAATCAGCTATGACCAGATGCTTTAGGCACTAAGGTTGACTTGGTGGGGGCTAATGCTTACCAAGTCTCTCTTGGGAAGACTGGCCTGGTAACTGGCTTCATAGGGTTCCCAGCCTTACAGGTGAGTGAGGAAGGTCACTTCCTGGCGGGCTCAGGAATCTTAGGCCGCTTTGGGGGACCTCGGGAAGAGAGGAATGCCCATCAAATCACTGGGTGCTGCAGGTGAGAAGTGGGGGTGAATTCTTGGCTTGGCTTCCTACCCTCAAGAGGCTTTGAAAAGTCCAATCTGAGATTCTTTATGAAAACTTTCAGCAAAGCAAATCTAAAACCTATGTGGTAAATTGTCATTCTTGGTGCATCTATGCAAATAACCAGGCCACATGTAATGAGACCAGCCTTATTTTGTGATCAAGAATAACTTCTTTGAGATTGTGTTTGATCCTTTAAAACATGTTTTTTTTCCTTATCTTTGAGATTGTGTTTGACCAGAATGGTAAGAGAGACTGTAGTGAGAAATTTTGTTTCAATGGGAAATAATAGCTGACTCTCTGGATGTTCAGATTCTGATCCTCTTCATTGTCTTTGAGCTATGTTGCACCTTTCTGTAATCGCTTTTGACTGACTTTGTCTGATCTAGTAACCAAGCTTTCTCTTTCACTGTGGAAAAGTCAGTTTGGTATTGAACTGGATTCTTCCACCTTGCACAGACTGTCAATCCTTGCCAGGTTTTCAGCTCTTCCAGACCCCTTCAATATCTGGCTACAAACTCACCTTCGCCTTCAAACTAAGATTTCCATTCCTTCTTCTTTCTTCTTGACTTGGAGTCACTGAGAACTAAAACCTGATTGCCAGATTCTTATTGAGACTCTGAGGTTGCCTTGTAACTGGTGCTTGCCCCCTGGGACTGAAGACTCATTGCAAGCTCAAGCCTGAGGACTTGTTATAAGCCTACGACTAGGACTCATCATTTCAGCTGACCATTCATGGCACAGCTCTTTCCTTGAATCAACTGCTGTTTGGACTACTGTGGAAGTCTGGTGAAATTCTCAGGTCACCCATGCCCTGACTGGAGAGGTAACCAACACTTTGGACAACATCACCAAAGCAGTCAACATCATAACTTCGAAAACCTCAATGAAAGGTGAGAGATTAAATATACAAACAGGCAATGACAAGA